TATAGAAGACAGTCGGTTGAGTGACGGCCATGAGCGGGGAATGAGGAGTAAAGACGGAAGGGGGCGAAGAACAGGGTCATCGGGGGGGAGGGGGGGTCCTGGGAGGGAATGAGGTCATTGACGAGCTTCGTTTTCCCGTGTGTGTTGGTCGTTCTCTCTGCTCCGTGTCACACTCAATCAATGCAGACTAAGTGATAGCAGTTTCATAGATAAGAGATGGTGAACCTTTAACCTCCGGCGGTGATGGTACAGGGAAACACGTGTTTTAAATCATACGACGGCAGACCTCTTCTCGCAGATGAGCAACGGACGATTGGGGAGAGAGAGAGAGAGAGAGAGATTTGAGTTGGGAAGTCCTGAACAGTTGGGAGTTTTCGCGTAGGGAAGACGCGATGGCAGATCAGGAGAGGTGAAGTGGAGGGAGTAGATTGAGGGTAGAAGAGTAGGGATTGGCATGCGGAGGGGTGCGCAGTGCTGGTTTGACGCTGTTCGACGTTCGCGTTGTGACGACATGCGTTTGACTAAATAAGAGGGGCTAGATATAATCGAGGGACGAAGGGATGTGGTCATGGGTAGGGAGGAGCTGAACGAGAGGAAGTTATACGTGGAGGAGGAGCACCCTTTAGGAGAGAGAGAGAAGAAAAGAAGCCCATAGAGAAGTGGAGTAAGTTAATTCTCGGATGCTTCCAAGAAGAAGTCGACATCGAAGAAGAAGTCGACATCGTGTCGGAAAGTGCGACCCATCCTCTGCTGCTCTCGCAGTCGGTGACGATCAATATATTATGTTTCTTTTTTTTTTTTCTCTTTTGTAAGGTTGGACTGTGGCAATCCGACTGCGAGAGCAGGATGGGTCGCACTTTCCGACCTAAAGAAAGGATCACGAGATGATCGATCCCTAACGTTGTTCATCACCATTCTTTTGCGTAGATAGAGGAGAGCATTTTGTTGGGGTAATTCTTTGCTATTGGAACCCAATAGACCCTTTTTTTTTGTTGTCATACTACGGACGAAGCAAAGCGGTCGGTAGCTTCTGAGAGCCGGGACGCGTAGTAATTGGTTGCCTGTGGCTTTCTCTAGTAGTCCTCCGCTTTGTATTTCAATTTTGCTTGTTTCTCTGCACGAGCTATTTTGAACGCGGGCATGTCGAGGGACGAAATGCACACCGGGATTTGCATATATTCCCTCCGTCCACTCGAGTTGTAGATGTCCGAGAGCCGTCCCTCTCTTGTCCCTGTTTTCTTTTTCCGCAGTCGTCGATTAGTTGTGTCTCCATTTTTGGAGTCGAGTTGCGCACTCTGAGCCCATGACGGCAGTGGAGGTTGTTCCCTTAATTTTCAATTCAATTCAATTCAATTCGATTGGATTCAATTCAATTCAAATAAAATTCAATTCAATTGGATTCAATTCAATTTAATTTAGTTCAAATTTGCAGCTGAGGCATTCGTGAAGATTGGAGTGTGGGATTTTTTGTGATGCGAGCTTGCGCGTTTTCTTTTTTTTTTCTTGGAATATTTTTTTTTCTGGCGGTCTTGGTTGAAGAAAGGACAGGAGAGGGGGACTTGTTGTTTTCTTTTTCTGGAATATTTTTTTCACGGTTAGTGAATTTCCATGGTTGAAAAAAAAATGAAAAATAAAAATAAATAAAAAGGAGCCAGCTGGAACAACAGACGGCGCAGGTGTAAGGTCTGTGGAGGACGGTCGAGGGCCCAGTGGCTTTTCTGAAGGGCAATCATGGAATTTTGATGTTGCAGGTCAAGGCCCAGGTGCAAGGTCTGTACCGGGCGGCAGAGACGGCTAGGTGCATATACTAATGGGTAAAAAATGGAATTTCGAGTTGCCGATCGTGGGCAGTCGTGATTCTTTTTTTTTTTTTTTTTTTTGGTGCAGTCGTGATTCTTCCTGTGCGACATGCTGCCATCTTGTCACGATTTTGTCTTTTTTTTTAATTTTAATGAATAAAACCCCCACTCTGTTCGTGGGGAACAGCACTTGCTGGGAAACGTGCCTACCTGTATCTCCCTATTGATGGCCTGATAGGTTTTCAGAAGTCGTACAATATACGGACAATAGAAAAATAAGCCCTGATTGCTCTAGTTCCTGACTACCCCGTCTTCCCCCGAACATAACGCACCCTGATTCTGAATGTATACAAGCCATCTTTCCGGTTGGATGCAGGCATAATGAGGGTGCGTTGTGTTCGGAGGAAGTCTGCAGTCCAGCGGAAAGCTCTGAATGTATACAAGCCATCTTTCCGGTTGGATGCAGGCATGAGGGTGCGTTGTGTTCGGGGGAAGACTGAAGTCCAGCGGAAAGCACAGATAAATCACCGGAGGATCAGGTCCTTCCTTTCAGCCAAGAATCAGTGGCCTAGTATCCAACTTCATCCTGGTGCCTTCGGGGTGTCCCTTTGGGGGTTTAGAAATTACTTTGGGGGGTCTGGGGCTTCATTTTGGGGGTCCAATCTAGAAAATTTGGCGGTACCGGAAGTGGTCTAGGTGAATTGAACGTCACTTTGAGTGTTTAGAAACTAATATGGGGGTTTGATGCATCAGTTCGGGGCCCTCCAATCACTCCAGGTGACTCAGCAGGGAGAGTTATTAAAACCTAAGATCAGGAAAATGCATTCGCACTCATGTTCCTTGAGGGGGGGAGGGGGGGAGGAAGGAATGTATGAAATGTGATGCGCTGTCTCGTTGACGAAGAGGAATTTATGTTAGAGACCATCTATTGAAGTGCAGGTAGACCGCCCGCATATTTTTCACATCCCCTTTGACCTCTGCTGCAATTTGACCGCTTCCAGGGTGCCATATAAAAGAAATCCTTGATTGCTTTTGCCCGCTGTAGAGGGTGACGTAGAATTTTAGTTCCGCAAAAGGTTTATGCCATTCCAAGTGGATTGATGTGTGAATGTTATTGTTGACATTCGATTCGTCAGTTTCAGGACCCGAAGTCGCAGCATATCATCCCCATTCATGGGTACATCTCTGAGTCTCGATTGTCAACAGGGCCGTTTTCTTTGTCAGACTTCAACCAGTAATCTTCAACGACGCCTCCTCCTGCTGCCAGAAACCCTGGGGACCAAGTCCCACTTAGGGGCAGATCCCACGTCTTTCCGTTTTTCATAAGAACGTAAAAGTGCCATGAAAGGTGGAGGCGCAGCGCACGGAACGTGAAAGAAAAATGCGACCCCACATGCCCAACTTCTGCCGGACTTTTCTTAATGGAGCGGCACTATCTTTTGGCGCCTTGAGGATCCAAGGGCCTGCACATCAGGAAAAAAAGAAAGGAAGAAAAAATGAAGGGCTCGTTCTTTCACGGTGTAGGGTATGGGGGTGGCTTCTTTTGATTTTTTAAAGAACTACCGGTCCTCAAATCGCGCTCGCACTGCCACGTACTAGGATGTTTCCACTTCTTGGAAAAAACAGGGCCACCTCTGGCTCTCGCGGAAAGAGGTGGGATCCCCAAATTTACCAAGAAGTGCCTTGCCTATAAGAAGTGGGATCGGGCTCTTACTCTGTTGAGCGAGCTCAACGTGGAGTTTTCAACCAGGCGCGGCAAGGCGCAGCCCACGAGATCATTCCACCACGGCTTCATCGAGCGGTTGCTTTTGCGGATAAAACTACAAATGTTTTTCTTTTCCTCTTTGCTTTGAATAGAACGACCCCTACCCTTCTGCGTTTTCGCTGAACTAGCTGCCCCAACGGTATCATCGGAGATCATGCTGCCGTTTGTGATGATGAAAATGAAAGATTCTGCAGATTGCCTGACATGCCGTGTTCCGTGAGTGTTGCAGAGCGTTGACAGAGGGACAGTCAGGTAGAGTTGTTTTTTTTTTTTTTTACACGTTAATTTGCACACACTATTCATGAGGTCACAGAGGTCCCATTCTGGTTCATGATGCCGTGATCGTCACCGATGTGGCGCAGCGAATGCGGGGACTCTCTCTCTCTCTCTCTCTCTCTCTCTCTCTCTCTCTCTCTGTTTTTTTTTTTCCCTTCTCTTTTCCCGCTGCACTGCTGATTTTTTTTTTTTTTTTTTTAATTTTAATCAAAACCATTCATTTATAAACCACTGATCCAACTTTGAGGCCGGGAACCTCACAATTCCACCCGGAAGATATCTGACAGCATCAGCCAGCTTAGCTTACAGGCACAGCCTGGAGAACACTAACCTGCCTAGAAATGAATTAGCCAAAAGATAAAGGTATTCGTTTATACTCCTATACTTTCCCCGAAATAAAATAAAACATCATTTCTTGTAAACCTCCTGTTCATTCTCTGAAGGATTGAACCGCATACTTGGGATGAAACTCTGTTAATTCTCTGAAGGCTCTGGAGTCTGGACCTGTCCTATATCTGGGACTAACACGGCCCAGGGAACTCGTCCAACTAATAACGACACTCAGCTAGAGGCCCACTGCGGCCCTCCTGAACCGAGTGCCCTGGTTCATCCTAAACCCTACTCGTACACTTGCCCGTCCTGCCTCTAACCCAGATCTCTCCCCTCACCGCGCGTCGCTTCCAGTGCAGACGAGTCCAGCACCCATTTTGATAACACCATTCCCTTTCTTGGATGAACAGCTGCAAGTTGGTGACTTCTTGCCCAAGTGAGCAGGAACCAATGCAGCTGACGACGGTTCCCTTTTCCTGATTTCGCCTTGTGCCTCCAGTCGATCCAGATTGCATGCTTCAGCCCTTGTTTGATGTGCTGTTTCATCTCCAGGTCTGAGAGGGGGCGCTTCTGGAACCGTGACCGGTTTCTGTCCCTCCAGATGACCTCGCAGAGCAGTCCTCTCATTACGTGAGCGATGTATCCCCATCCCCGGTCCTCCTCCATACCAGAAGGAAGGAATCCCAACAACGCCCATCTCTCATCCCAGTCCACGCCCTGGCCTCCGAACTCCCTCCAGTGGTGTGCCCACCAGTTCCAGATTCGTTTGGATGCCGGGCATTCCCACCACATGTGCCTGGTGGACTCGAAAGGCCACCTACATCTTGTGCAGGCCAAGTTCACCTTCATTCCCCTGTTCGTTAGCCATACTGCTGAGGGGAATACCATCAGTGACAGCATCCATAAGATGCTGGCGTGCTTCCATTAGGGAGGGTAGACAGTACTTCCCAGAGTTTTTCAAACTTGGGTGCTGCGTTGGACAAATCCTCTTCCCAAACTGCCTGCCACCTCGGGATGTCCACCTGCGCCGGTGTTTTCAGCTTGTGGAGTTGTCGCTGATATCCTGCTGCCACAGAGTATTCCCCCAGACCCAGACTTGCTTGATCCTCCGGCTTGGGTGCCCAACTCCAGGCTGAAGGGTCGATACACAGTTGGCTGAGTGGTAGTCTGCCCACCCAGGTGGAGATGAGGGCAGATGGTTTCTTCCCACGGACCTCCAACACTCGAGCCTGTGCTGGGTTGTCCCAGAGCAGGGTTGTGTCCTCCTCCACTCGGGAGAGAATGTTCGCTGGACCCTCGCATCGCCAACGCTCAATCCTCCTGAACCCGCTAGGAAGAATTTCCAGCACCTTCCATAACGTCCCCTCTTCCCTTTCTTGCTTGGGTATGTACCACGTGCCTGCCGGATCCAGACCTTCTGGACCTAGGATTACTTTCCATTCCTGCGGTATGGCACTGATGATCCGTCCCCAGTGCTCTTCTACCCTCTGTAATCCCCTGAGTAGCGGTTTTACTTCGTCCAGCGGTTTCCAGCCTCCCAGGAGAGTTGACCAGAGATCAGAGATCCGGACCACACCTCTGCGTACCCAGGCCTGGCCGAACGAGCCTGAGGATCCATCTGCAGCGAGTACCTGGTTACTTTGGTCTACGATTGCCGGGTTCTCAAACAGCAATTGATTCAACACTTCTTCTTGAGTGGCCGGGGATTTCTGCTGATCTGGGGGTGACCGGTTCCAAGCTCGGCGAATAGGTTCCCAGAATCCTGACTTGAGCTTTCTCTTGCGGAAGGATGGTATGAAAAAGCAGGCCCACACATCTTGTGGCCTGCTCAGAGCCCACTCACCCATTAAGATCCTCTCTGCAATTGCTACCCACTGCTCCATTGTTTTCATGTTGGCAATCTTGATAATCCAGTTGCATAACTGGGCCTGGTTCCTGCGAGTAGGGTCCGTCAGACCAAGCCCGCCTTTGTGGCGTGGGAAGCATAGTGTGTCCATCGCCACTTTGGACAGAAACCCCTCTGAATCTTTGGCCCGAGGCTTCCAAATGAACCGTGCCACCAGTCTCCTGATTACCTTTGCCACTCCCAATGCCAGCTCTCGCACTGTCGTCACAAACCAGAGGATCGACAGTAAGGCAACATTAGCCACTAGGGCTCGGCCCAGCAGGGACAGATGCCATGTTGAACCCCATAATCTGAGGCGTGCTGAGCCCCGCTGTTGGAGCAGCAAACCTTGCGTTGAGACTTCGATTTGCAAGCCAATCAGAACTCCTAAAAATCTTTCTTCCTCACCGACCTCTACCCTACTCATCCCCCATTCTACTTTTAGGGAGAATTGCGCAGGGAGGAGGTAGGCGGACTCGTTCCAATTTACGGACGCCTCCGAAAGTTCTGAGTATTCTACCATTACCACCTTCAGTGCTGTCAGCGATGTCACCGTGTTTTCGCTGATTGAATCTTCCCGTGCAGTTTTCTTTTTTTTTCATTACTTTTCTTCGTTTTTCTTTTTTTTCCTCTTTCTGGTTTTCTTTAGTTTTTCGTTTTTCTTCATTGTCCCGGTCCTTGGGCACCTACTAGGCGTTCTCTGGCCGAGCGTGCCGTGTTAACTGGTGCGTATTTGTTTTTCAAGCAGGGAAAGGTACTGGTGGTTTAAGGACCAGGGCTTTGCCAAATACCCCCAAATGAACCCTTGTAGCCCATTGATCCATACAAAGTATGGTGCCACAATCAGGCCTTCCATCCGACAGGTACCACCATCATCCGGCATCAGCATTGCACCTAGAAACACACAAATTTTTATCATCCCGCCATACCGATATATCCCACCCGTCAGGGACCCCACAACCTTTGGGAAGGATTGCCATCGACTTACGCCAGTTTACCCGGGCTCCAGAATAGCGCGTAAACAGATCCAAATTTGCTTGCAGTCGCCTCAGCCGCTGCCTCGTGGGGGGGGATGATCGCCCCCGTGTCATCCGCAAGGCCGTCGACTGCAGGGTAATCCCCAGGCCTACCACAAGCCCTTGCAATTCCTGATCAGCTTGCAGCAGGTCATGCAGGGCCTGGATGTAAATAAAACATACAATGCTGGAGAAACCCCTGCCACACAGCGTTGTATGTTATTTACATCGAGGCCCTGCATGTAAGAGGCCTCGATGTAAGAGTCGACGGAGAGGAGTGCAGGCCATTCCCGCACTTGTTAAACCACCAGTACCTGGCCCAACTATAGGATGCGGCGCTTCCCGTATACGCGCCGCGTCGGGAGGGGTACCCACCGGCCAACGACCAGTAACCCCCAAATCACAGCGCCAAAAAAAAAAAAACAAAAAAAAAACGTCGACGAAAAACGAAAACTGAAAACTGAAACGGGCGTGGCAGGGGGGGGAAGTCCGAGAGAGAGAGAGAGAGAGAGAGAGAGAG